GGTGTCAGCTCTGTTGCTCCGTGTAACGGTTATGGGGCACTCCTGATGTGAAATTTGGGGGCCTGAATGTGGGCCCCTGTGTGCTTAAAGGGACTTGTCACAATCAGTCGCAGAGAGGCTGATAAAGGGTTTAGTTATAAAAGGGGGGAATGAAGAGATGAATGTTTGGGCAGGGGAAGAGGGGCTGAGTCGGGGGTCTCCCCAAGGGGGGGCTCGTTCAGAGGCTGCCTGTGCCATGTGGGTCTAGGCTGAGGAGATCAAGGCCCTCCCTGCCCTCCAGGGGCAGGGCGGGGGCTGGAGGGGGTGGCCTGCGTCACAGGGTGTACTGGGGCCTCCTCTGAACCCTCCCTGGCTGGCTGGCTCCTGTGCTCACAGCCACCTTCTCACCCCTTGCTCTTTCGAGCTCTAGACCACAGGGAAAGTCCTCACCGCTGTCTCTGCCATTTATAGGTGGTGGCTTTTAAAAACATCCTGCCACTGTGGCTGTTTTCGGCTCCTCTGTGATTCCACTCTCTCTCCAGCAGGGAGCTTTAATTCCCTGGGGGTGGGGTGGGGTGGGGGGAGGAGGAGGCCGGCCTGGGGGCTGGGGGACCTGGCCTGCAGGGGCCAGCGCTGCTGAGACAGCCCCAGGCAGAGCCCCACCGCCCCTGGCTCCACTAAGCACAGGAGCTGTCCTGCTCCGGCCGTCCCCCCTGCCCACACTGGCCGGGCTGGGCAGCACAAGCGGGTGTGGCCTCTAGTAGCCGCTGTCCCTGGCTTTCCCACTGAGCTGTGCAAGGGCAGGAAGGGCCGGTCAGCAGGACGCTGGGCGAAGACCCAGGAGACGGCCCAGCTGTTCTCTCGCTAGAAAACACCCCAGGACGGCAGGAAGCAGGGAGCCAGTAGCGGTGGCAGGGGGTGGGGGCCCGTCTGCCAGCGGGGAGCTGTCCCCCTCCAGGAGAAGCTGGGGCTCAGAGGGAACCTGCTGCTGTTTGGGCTTCTAGTCCCGCCCAGCAGGACTTTTCAACCCCACTGGGTTTTGAAAGTTGCTTCTAACCATTTAAGGGAGAGAAGCCGAGAGCACACACCTCGCCTCTCCCTGGGGGTGGGAGCAGGCAGCTCTCTGGCTGCCTGCCTGGAGTCCCAGCACTGGGGTGGGGGCCTCCCCACGGGGGTCACACCTAGACTCTGAGGATCTCACCAGACCTGGCCGCCCCTCTGGACCCCACAGGTCCAGTGACGTGTCCTGCCCCAGTGACTTCTCCTCCAGTCTCTACCCGCCTCTCCCCCCCAGGCCAGGGCCGGCTGGGGCAGGCAGTGTCCCAGAGCCACTCACAGAGCAGAGGCCCAGAGGGGGCAGCTGCCTGGCCCAGCAGTGAGCCCCAGGCCTCTGGGCGGGACCAAGGCAAACAGACTTTGCCCCGTCCACATTCCAGCCTGTTATTCTACCTGGAGCGGAGTGCTTTCCCCGCGCTGAGGCCTCCGGCTGAGCTTCCTCCCTCTGCGTGGTGACCCCGCCACCCAAGACGAGGTAGGTAGGGCGGGTCACCCCTTGTCCCCTCTGCTGACCCCATTCTGGCCGTCCCGGGATCTTGCGGGTGCTGGGGTGTCTGCGGGAAGTGGGTGCGGGACCTGTGGCGGCCTTCCTGGTCTTCATTGCATGGATTCCCTCGGCATCCCCAAGCCCTCCAGGCCCACCCCTCCTGCGGGAGCCTCAGTCCAGAGTGGCTGCCTGCCGGCGGCTCCCCAAGCCCAGCCCCCTTCCGGTCTCCCTGCAGTCAGCAGCCGCCTTGGCTGGTCTCCTCCAGCCTCAGGGGGCTTGGCACTGGGCGTCCCTGGGGCTCTGGGGGCACACTGGCTCCGGGAATCAGTGGTGGGAGGGAGGACCCATTCCTTCTAGCTTGTTCTTATGATGCAGCAGCCCAGGGGTCCTCCATTTTTGGGGGCTCCTGCAGCAGGGACTGCTGTTCCCCTAACGTCAGCCAGTCAGGGCTTTCTGGGGAGAGGGACTGGAGGCAGGAGACTGGAGGGGCATGAGGTGTCCCTGGTCCCCACCCCAACGTGGGGGTGGCCTCCAACCCAAACCCAGGGCTCTGCTAAGTCCCCTGAGGCTCTGGGCTGAGCCCTGTGCAGCCCCCCCCCCAAATGCGCCAGGTCATCTCACCTGGCCTCGGGCCCACCAGCTCCTACCTGGGTGATGCCTTCCTGCTGGCCAGCCCTCCAGGCTTAACCAGGGTTTAGGAGACCCAGCTTTCTCTGGCCTCCTCCCCACCCCCATGGAATGGGGAGCCCTGGCCTGTGCCTCTTGCTTTGGGTCCCCTTCAAGCCGGCTCAAGTCTCCCCTGAGAATGGAGACAGAGGAAGCTGTGGGTGCAAGGCCTGCCAGAGCCCAGCCCCGGGTGGGTGTCTCCCAAGGGGAGAGGGAGGAGCAGCTTCATTTGCAAATCAGTCTGGCAAGAAGTTGGGGTGAACTGAAACCAGCCTGTGGGGCTGTGGTCCTAGAGGCCTGGGAGCTGGGCTGGGGGCAAAGGAGTCAGGAGGGCGCAGACGCTGTGTGAGGTCCCTGCCTGGGCCTCTGGCGCTGACCTCCCTTGTGCTCAAGGTTAGTTGCTGAGGCTCCAGCCTCTGCTGCCCTGCAGCGCAGAAAAGCCCTGATAGGCTGTTTCTTTCTTTTTCTCCTGCACTTTTGGGCTATGGCCAGCTCCGCCATTTAGCCTCAAACCTGACCTGCTTGAGGGCCTGATGGTGTGGGGGAGGGGGCTCTGGCCACCTTGGGGTGTGGGGGATGGGACCCTGGTCTCACCCTGGGTGCAGGTCACGGTGGGGCCCTGGCCTCACCCAGGGTGTGAGTAATGGGGGCTCTGGCCATCTCAGGACCCCAGGATGCACTGCTCGGGGACCTTAGTGTCACCAAGTTTGGGGTACCTAGATGCCACCAGGTTTGGGGGGCCTGTGCCCTTGACTGTATCATGAAGGACCCCGAGCCCTGTTTAGGCAGCTCTGGGTTTACTTAGGACATAGGTCAGGGGAGAATGACCCCCAGTGAAGGTGGGACTCCTAGCTTAAATGGGGTGCAGGGCTCTCACGCAGCCCTCCGGGGTGCTTTGGGGCCAGGGGTGTGGTTTATTGGTCCAGGCAGCAGTTTCTGATGTTGCCTCCTCTGCTGTACTCCTGGGGCAGTTTTACCTGCTGGGGTCCACCCCTCCCTCACCCCTGGGCTTTGTCAGCTCTGGCGTCCTGGGGGCTCTTCAGGCCTTTCCCTCCACGCTCTCACCCCTACATCCACCACTTCCTGTCCATCCCCGCACCTGACCCATACCCCACCAGGGCTGGGTGCTAGTTTGGAAGTGACTTTCAGGAGGTTCTCAGCCTCAGTCCCTGGACAGGCTCAGGTGTGCACAGCCGGGAGGGTTGACAGGGTTCCCCACAGGCTTCCCCCATACCTCCCCCAAGACCACCCCCCGGCCTCCCCCCAGGCCTCCCTCCCTATACTTCCCCCCAGGACCCCCAGACCCCTCCAGACTTCTCCCCCAGACCTCTCCCCACTCACCCCAAGACCTCTCCCCCCAGACCTCCTGCCAGGCCTCCTCCCAGACCCGCCAGACCCCCCAGGACGCCCCCCCCTTCCCACAGGCCGCATAGGTGGCTGGATGAGCAAGAAAAGACACTGTTCAATTATTGGCTAATCACAGCGAGGATGTCCCCAGGGCTCCCCACGGGAGCCCACCCCAGGGTGGCAGTGAGTCAATTCTGTCAGTTCTGCGGGAGGGAGCAGAGCCCCTGACACCAGCCAAAATGGACCCCTCCCCCTACCCACCCCCTGCCTGTCCCCTGGGCCCACCCTCTCTCAGGCTCCTGGCCTCCTGACACTGCTGGGTGGGGCCTACGGACTTCCTGCCACAGGAGAGCTCCTGCTATCTCGGAGCAGCTCTGCACCCCGTTGTCTCTGGGCCCCAGAGGGCCTGGCCTGGAGCACGGAGCGCACCCCACAGGCCCCACACAGTGCCCAGACCCCGCCTCCAGTGGCCTCAGGAGCTCTGGGGCAGGCTGGGGCCATCTGACTCCTCCAACAAGTGTCCCCGGGGCCTGCGGTTCACGCAGACAGTGGCCACCCAGTGGTGAAACAGGAAGGCAGCAGAAGCCGAGTCTCAGTCACTTCCTCAGCAAGGCCACAGTCCGACCCGCCTGGAGGGACTGCCAACCGGTCTCCCCGTTGGCCACCCTGGGGCCAGCCAGGGGCCGTGAGGCTGGCTGGGGGTACTCCAGGGCCCCAAGCAGGCTGCTCGTGACTCCACGTGTCCCGTGTTCTGGGTAACTCAGTGTGTGGGACTGTGGTCGGAGGGTCGGCAGGGTGGACGCTGTTGCTGTGTCGAGGCCTGTGTATCCCCGGCTGTCAGACCCGGGGCTCGGCTAATGGGATGGGGGGCATCGCTGGCGCCCAACTGGCGCCCATGGCTCACCCCAAGTGGCACCGCGTTTGCCCCCAGGACAGCTGGCCCCTGGTTAGGCGGGAGGGTGGTGTACGCGCCGGTAGCTGAGGCTCATGCAGAGATGGTGATACCTAGGGCCATCAGGTGGCTGTGTGAGATGGCCACAGTCCTGAGGATGACTGGCCCTGGTCTCTGTCCAGGGGGACCCCAAGTCTGTCCCCAACTTGGGGGTTCTGAGATTGTCCTGCCAGGGGAACCCCAAGTCTGCCCCTGCCTGGAGGGTCCTGAGACTGTCCCTGCCCCAAGCATGTCCCTACCTGGGGTACCCCCTGAACCTGTCCCTGCCTGGGAGACCCCAAGCCTGTCCCTGCCCCGGGGACCCCTGAGCCTCTCCCTGCGGGAGGGACCTGAGACTGTCCCTGCAAGCCTGTCCCTGTCTGCGAGCCCCCTGAGCCTGTACCTGACCTGGGGCGGACCCCCGAGCTTGTCCCTGCTGGGGTCCTTTGCCTGCCTTGCCTGTCTTGCTCAGCGCGGCTGTACCCTGGCACCGCCCCTGCTCTTGCTACAGCCGCTCTGTGATTAACAGGAAGCTGGGCGGTTAATAGCCGTGACTTGCAGAACGGCCAGCCTGGCCCTCTGGATGCAGCTGCAGGGGCACGTGGGCATGTGGGACCCCCCCTGAGGCGCCTTGTCTTTGCAGGAGCGGGCTGCTGGCCGCCGAGGAGACAGTGCAGGACCTGCGTGGATGAGGGCAGGGAGTGAGCCGCGGCTGCGCCAGGAGCTCGGCAGTCCCGCCCCAGCGGCAGGGCCTGAACACGGGGGCAGCGGGCAGCGGCTCCCGGCGGGCCATGGGCTCCTGCCTGTACAGCGCCTTCAGCCTGACCCTGCTCTCCACCCTGCTTTTCCTGCTTGTTTACAACAAGGGCTTGTGGAGCGAGCAGCGGGCCCTCTGGGCCTCTCTGACCAACGCCTCCCTGCTGGCCGGAGTCTGCCGCCAGATATCCGCGGGCAAGGTCTTCCACCCCGGGGGTAACGCCCTGAGGATGCCGCTCGGGGCCCCCTCCTGCCGGGACTACCTCGCCCAGGGCCACTACGTGTCCACCCCGCTGTCCGCCGAGGAGGCCGCCTTCCCGCTGGCCTACGCCATGGTGGTGCACAAGGACTTCGGCACCTTCGAGCGGCTCTTCAGGGCCGTGTACGCGCCCCAGAACGTGTACTGCGTGCACGTGGACCGCAAGGCGGACCCCGACTTCCAGCGGGCCGTGGAGCGGCTGCTGCGCTGCTTCCCCAACGCCTTCGCCGCCTCGCGGAGGGAGCCGGTGGTGTACGGGGGTGTGTCGCGGCTGCAGGCCGACCTGCACTGCCTGGCGGACCTGGCGGGCTCGGCCGTGCCCTGGAGGTACGTGCTCAACACCTGCGGACAGGACTTCCCGCTGAGGACCAACCTGGAGATCGTGCGCTACCTGAAGAGGTTCCGGGGGCGCAACATCACCCCGGGGGTGCTGCCCCCCGTGCACGCGGTGCCCAGGACCAGGTACGTGCACCGGGAGCACCTGGCCTAGGAGGCCTCCTACGTGATCAGGACGGCGGCGCTCAAGGCGCCTGCGCCGCACAACCTGACCATCTACTTCGGTTCGGCGTATGTGGCGCTGACCAGGCCCTTCGTGGACTTTGTCCTGCACGACCCGAGGGCCGTGGACCTGCTGCGGTGGTCGCGGGACACCTTCAGCCCCGACGAGCACTTCTGGGTGACGCTGAACCGCATCCCAGGTAGGGTCCCCCCTCCCGCGCCGTGGCCATCGGAGACCGCATGCGCACAGCTCACATCCAGGCGCTTAGCCCGTCGGGCAGTTCGGGCAGTGCCTGCTGCTGCCGGGCTAAGAGATGCCAGCTTGGTCTCGCAGAGGGAGAAACAGAGGCCCAGTAGTGCACCTGTTCAGGGCTGCAGGTCTGGGGCCCACGAGGTGGTCCAGGCTTACTGCTGACGCTGCGCCCCTCTGAAGTCAGGGGCAGATAACAGCCCCCATACAAGTGGGGGCCGGTGTCCCAGAGCTCAGCCTCGGAAGCATATGCTCCCCACAGGGCTCTGGTATGGCTTCCCTTCCAGTGGCTTCCTTTGCCAGCCCTCCTGGGCCTCATCAGAACGTCGAAGGCACTTAGAACTTTACAGAGCCTCCAGCCTACAGTGGGGAGGCTGGGGGCGGGGGTAGGGGAAGGAGGGAAGGGTGTTCAGGGGTTGGCATTTGCCATGTTTTTCCTCTGCTGCTGTTTAATGGGTCCCTGGTCTGACCCCACCTTCTCTTTGGTCCAAGTTCCAAATGGTTTTATTTTTTAAAGATTTATTTATGCACATAAGAACTGGGGTGCAGGTCAGACGTACAGGGATGAGAGGAGTCACCATAGACAGAGCAGGGAGTAAAACAGGTGGATCCTCTAAAATCCACTGCGGTGTGGGAAGGTGTCCCCCCCTAGCCTGGATCGAACTGGCTGGGACTCTTTCATAGTGCTGAGACTCACCCCTGCACCCCCAAGAAAGCCCCTGAATGGTTTCATAATCTCCAGCTGTTTTCAGGACGGCAAGTACATTCTCGTTCCCTTTAAACCTCAGCCTCAAATGTAGGGGTCTGGTGCAGGTCTGTGGGGTTTACCCCTAGGGGGAGCGAGTCCCAGAGTTGTCAGCTTCCGAGAGCCCCACTGTTCCCCAGAGGCAACTTCCCAGGGTGACTGACTTGAGCTGTTTCTGCCGAGCTGCGGGCCGGCCAGTGTGAGCAGAAGCACGGCCGGCCTCCTGGTCAGCAGGCCGTGGGCGGAGCGTGGCTGGTGGCTCTGGCTTATCTGGGCTGGCGCCTTGTTGGGGCATTCTAAGCTTGTTATGTTGAATATTTAGCACCAAACTGGACTAACTGGGCAGCCCCCATGGACCATGGAGTTTCTCAACTGAGAAAGGCCAGAGGAGGACCTCGTGACTAGAGTGCCCAGTCCTCATGGCTTGTGTGGCCTCTGCTGCCAGCAGGCCCATGTCCGCGGCTGTCCACACAGCTGTGCCCATCTTCAGGCCCCAGGGCCTGTCCCCACTGGTCAGCTGGTGGAATTGGGTCTGTCTCCCGGGGCCCACCTACCCCCCACTGTGTATCTGTGCAAGAAGTCGGCATCTTAGCTGGCCACTGAGCAGCTGGACAGTGTCCAGTGTGTGGTCAGTACCTGTTTTGCATGGCCTACCTCGGGAACTATCCTGAACTGCCCCCCTCGCCTGCTGTGGGACTTGGGGGCTCACTTGATGCTCTGCCCAGACCCCAAGTGACTGAGAACTGGCTCCCGGGGAGGGTTTGCAGGACACGGGGCAGGGCCAGCCTAGTGCCCTCCGGGAAGGCCTGAGGAGTGTGCACGGGGGCAGACTCACTCACTGTTGCTCAGCCCCGCATGCTACAGTCTGGGGGTGCCCTGCCCCGGGGTGGGGGCCACTCAGCAGGGCCCCAGCTGCTGGGCACTGCC